ATGCGGCGCGCGGCGCGCCGCACGGCGCGGAATGTGGTGTGAGCCAGGAATTTTCAAGGTTCTGATGGATCCGGCTAGGCCCGCGGGAATGCGCACGGTTGAGCCAATCGCGGCGCGCCGTGCCGCGCAGAGTGGCGTGTGTGTGTGTGTGTGTGTGTGTGTGTGTGTGTGTGTGTGTCTAGTGAACGTCTCAAGGTCTTGATTGATGTCGCAGGGTCCTCAGGACTGCTCAGGGTTGAGCCACGCGCGGCGCGCGCCGTGCGGCGCGGAGCGTGGCGTGTGCAGCGAATTTCTTGCAGGGGCGCGGCACGGGTCGTGCGCTGCGGCGCGCGCTGCACGGCGCGGAATGCGGCACGTGTGGGTATTACTCAAGGTTCGGATGGGTCCCGCCAGGCCCGCAGGAACGCGCAGAGTTGACCCGCGCACGGCGCGTGACGTACGGCGCCGAGCGCACGCGCGCCGTGCGCGGTGCGCGTGGGGCATTTTGCAAGGGTCCGATGGACCACAATAGGGAATCAGGCATGCGCAGGGTCGATCCGCGCGCGCCCCGCGCCGTACGGTTGCGTCGGGTAGAGCCGAGCGCAGGGCGCGCCGTGCGGCGCGCAGTGCGGTTCGCGGTGGGAGATTCTCAAATCGCTGAAGGGCCCCGCTGAATCCTCAGGGGCGCGCAGTGTTGAGCGATGCGCGGCGCGCGCGCGCGCGGTGCGGCGCGGAGTGGTGTATAGGGAATTTCCAAAGATTCTGATGGATCCCGCTGGGCCCCTCAGGAACTCGCAGGGTTGAGCCACTCGCGGCGCGCGCCTCACGGAGCGGAGTGTGGTGCGTGTAGGAAATCGAAAGGTTCTGATGGATGCAGCTAGATCCGCGGGACCCTGGGGCCAAGGATCCGGAGGGGTCCCGTTTAGGTGTCCTTTACCCGCTCCTGCACGCTGGCCAATTCGCTTCTCGGTTTCCCTGTTTAGTTCTAGCGCTGGTGCAGCTGGGGGGGGGCTTGGTCGTTTTCGATCTTCCTGGGCCTCGGGGGGGCGGGCTCCCCGCCGCCATGGCTGGATTCCCGCTGCTCGGGGTTCTGGCCAGAACGCTATCATGGACGTGTCCGTGGGCTGGTATTAGGCTCTCGAAACAGATATGGCCATGACGAAGGGGGCAAAGTGAAGGGGGAGTGTTTCTTGGGAGGGCACGGTGCTTCTCAGAACTATTCGAAGGCTTCTACGACGCCCCCGCGGGGCTTTCAGAAACACCCTGCTTTCTAAGAGCCCCCGCTCCCCCTGCCCCTTTGGCGCTCCGCCGACAAATGGGGGTCCAGAGGGAGACGGTTTTCGTGATTTTCGATTTTCGGCCTCCCTTGGGCCGTCGAAGTTCGACTGGGGATGTAGAGCCGGTGCTAAATGGCCCTGGGCTGCTCAATTCTTTTTTTGGGTGCGTTTGCTAAACGGCCTCGCGTGTCGGGGTGATTATCATAGGGGTGGATTTTTTGGCCCTCCTCCTGATGACGAGCCCTGCAGGGAGGGAACCTTGCAGGGAGGGAGCCTTTAGTGAGAAGGGTGGACGGTCGAGAGTGAGTCCTCCGCAAAAGACGGGGTCTGGCCTGAGTGGCGGGCCCGCTGGGCGCTTCCCGCGGTGGTGCATGTGAGCATCCTCGAGGCATCCGGGGTCGTAGGACGGGGGGGCCTCCTCCTCCTCGTCCTCGTCCTCCTCCTTCCTCTTCTCCGCCTCTCCCTCCTCCTCTTCCTCCCCGTCTTCTTCCTCCTCGTCCTCCTTCTCCTCCTCCGCCTTCTCCTCCTTCTCCTCCTCGTCCTCCTCCTCCTCCTCGTCCTCTTCCTCCTCTCCTTGTTCCAGTGCCCCCTTCCTCCGCTTTTTCCTCCTCCCCTGTCGTCCCCATTCCTGCCCCCCATCTCGGCAGGACCCCCTGGACACTGTCGACATGTTCGACACCTGGCACGGCCAGTGGGTTACCTGCCCTAGGCGCTCGACCCATCCAGCATGATGGCCGCCGCGGCCGTCGTCGTCCGTCGTTCGTCGTTCGTCCTTTTCGTTTGTCGTGCGTCGTCGTCGTCATTGTCGTCGAGCGTCGTCGTCGTCATCGTTGCTACTGCTGTTGTTGTTGTTGTTGTTGTTGTTGTTGTTGTTGTTGTTGTTGTTGTTGTTGTTGTTGTTGTTGTTGTTGTTGGTGGTGGTGGTGTTGTTGTTGTTGTGGTTGTTGTTGTTGTTGTTGTTGTTGTTGTTGTTGTTGTTGTTGTTGTTGTTGTTGTTGTTGTTGTTGTTGTTGTTGTTGTTGTTGTTTTTGTTTTTGTTTTTGTTTTTGTTGTTGTTGTAGTTGTTGTTGTTGTGGTCGTCGTCGTGGTCGTCGTCGTGGTCGTCGTTGTCGTCGTCGTGGTCGTCGTTGTTGTTGTTGTTGTTGTTGTCGTTGTTGCTGTTGCTGCTATTGCTGCTGTTGCTGCTGTTGGTGCTGGTGTTGGTGTTGGTGTTGTTGTTGTTGTTGTTGTTGTTGTTGTTGTTGTTGTTGTTGTTGTTGTTGTTGTTGTTGTTGTTGTTGTTGTTGTTGTTGTTCTTGTTGTTGTTGTTGTTGTTGTTGTTGTTGTTGTTGTTGTTGTTGTTGTTGTTGTTGTTGTTGTTGTTGTTGTTGTTGAATGTTGAATGAGGACGATTAGACCGGCCCGGGGGGACCCCAGCAACCCCAGCAACCCCAGCAACCCCAGCAACCCTTCCGCGGCCGCGGAAGGGGTCCTGGTAGGATCCCATAGGATTCCTGAGGGATCCCTATCGGATTCCTCAGGGATCCCATAGGATTCCTTAGGGATCCCATAGGTTTCCTATACGATTCCTATAGGATTCCTTAGGGATCCCATAGGATTCCTATACGATTCCTATAGGATTCCTAAGGGATCCCATAGGCTTCCTCAGGGATCCCATAGGATTCCTCAGGGTACCTAAGGGATACCCATAGGATCCCCATAGGATTCCTAAGGGATCCCATAGGATTCCCATACGATTCCTTTAGGATCCGCATAGGATTCCTATAGGATTCCAGTAGGATTCCTAAGGGATCCCATAGGATTCCTCAGGGACCCCATCGGATTCCCAAGGGACCCTACAGGATTCCTCAGGGATCCCATAGGATTCCTAAGGGCTCCCATAGGATTCCTAAGGGACCCCATAGGATTCCTAAGGGATCCTGTAGGATTCCTTAGGGATTCCATAGGATTCCTAAGGGATCCCATGGGATCCTATAGGATTCCTCAGGGATCCCATAGGATTCCTAAGGGGCCCCATAGGATTCCCAAGGGATCCCCATAGGATTCCTAAGGGAGCCCATAGGATTCCCATACGATTCCTATAGGATCCGCATAGGATTCCTAAGGGATCCTATAGGATTCCTAAGGGATCCTATAGGATTCCTCAGGGATCCCATCGGATTCCTAAGGGATCTCATAGGAATCCTAAGGGATCCCATAGGATGCCTATAGGATTCCAATAGGATTCCCATAGGATCCCAGTAGGATTCCTCAGGGACCCCATAGGATTCCCAAGGGATCCCATAGGATTCCTAAGGGATCCCATAGGATTCCCGTACGATTCCTATAGGATCCCCATAGGGTTCCTAAGGGATCCTATAGGATTCCTAAGGGATCCTATAGGATTCTTGAGGGATCCCATCGGATTCCTAAGAGATCCCATAGGATTCCTAAGGGATCCCATAGGATTACTATAGGATTCCAACAGGATTCCTATAGGATCCCCAGTGGGACTCCTAAGGGAACCCATAGGATTCCTCAGGGACCCCATAGGATTCCCAAGGGACCCTACAGATTTGACTTCGCCATCCCTGGGGGGGCTGCGGTCTGCGAAACTGTCGCCACTTTCGAGGGCTGCTGGGGGGGGGGGGGGGGCATCGGAGTGACCTGCGCGGGGACTTAGTATAAACAGGTTGGATCCTTCGGAACGCTGAAATAGGAATTCGATAGGAAATGGTCGAGTCCCAGCCGCCGGAGGAATTCCTTAATCATTTATTTGTTTTTGAATCGGAATTCAATAGGACATGGTCGAGTCGGGGACGGGGGGGTCCTTAACTGCGTCCCCCCGTCGGGGCCCGAAAATGAACCTCTTGGGGCCCTCGTGGGCCGCTCTTGGAGCGGTCTTGGGTGTTCTTGGGGCGGTCTTGGGGCCCCCCTGGGCCCCTTTTGGGGCCCTCTTGGGCCATCCAGAAGCCATCTTGAGGCCTCAAGAGGCCATCGGGCGCGAAAGGGTGACAATGCAAAAAACATCGGAAAAACATACAGGATTTGAATGATTTTGGCCTCTTGAGGGCTTCCTTGGAGGGCTCGAAAGGCACTTGGAGCCGTCCTGGGGCGGTCTCCAGAGCTCTTGGATGCATGTTGATAGCTATCTTGAACCATCTTGGGATATCTTGCGCGATCTTGGAGACCATCTTGGGCTCTCTGGGACCCGCTTGGAGCCATCTTGGGCCATCTTGGACGCTCCAACCGCTCGCGGCACCCTCCCTCCAGGTCCAGGGGGAGGGGGTAGGGGGAGGGGGAACCCCCTCCCCGAAGGGGAAAAAGGGGGTTTAGCAGAACGAGCTCCTTAGACCACTCACGCCCTAAAGTGCTGGTGGGATTCGCCGGTTTGGGCCCACGCTGGCTAACATCGTAGCCACTCTGCCCCAGGCCTCTTGGGCGAACCCCACCGCGAACACCTTGGGCAAAGCTGTTGTTGTTGTTGTTGTTGCTCCTGGGTCTCCTCCTCCTTGCGTTCCAGCGTGGGCGTGCATGGTTGAATGCGCCCAGGGTATTTTTTCTTCGGGCCCCAGGACTCACGGAAATCGACCCGCGGTCCGAAATCATGATTCCAGGACGGCCTCCAGGTGCGCAGATCGCTCAAGAGTGAACGACCCACGCGATGTCAGCAGCCAGTTCCCATGTCGTCGCGACTGCGGTCGTCTGCGTCGTCGTCGCCATCGCCCTCATGTCATCGGCTGGCTCGAGTGGCGCCCTGCGCCCTGGCTTTCAGCAAGCTGATTTCCTAAGCTCCTCCCATATTTCCATATCTCTAAGCCCCGACGGCATAGCCTAACGGCGCCGATGGTGGCCCCCGCCTACGGTCGTCTGGCCATGATGGCGATCACCAGGGTGGTTTTCGAGGGCGGCTTGACCGGCTCCGCCTGGGGCGACTGGTCGCTCTACCCGGGCTCCCCGGATTTGGCGGTCCAGGATCCGTAGAGGGAAGCTGCACGCACCACCACCATGCCTCAGCAGGGCCATCCTGGGATGCAGGATGCTGTATCGACCCTCCTGCCCAAGGCAGGAGGGCGCATACACCATGCCGGGGTCCAGGATGGCCCTGGCCTGGCGTGGTGGCGGTGTATGCTTACCTGCCTTCTCGCGTGCAGGATCCAGTTGGCTTCGCCGTGAGCAGCGCGCCAGACCTCAGCAGCAGCACCGTGGCCATCGCGATCATCACCGGCTCCGACTTGGGCGTCTTGGAGCTCCACAGCAACAACACCACAGACACCACCGCGATATTCTTCGGCAGGGAGCGATCGCGTTTGTTCTGGTGCACGCGGCGGCGGCGGTGGCGACGGCAACGGCTTCGCCGAGGCCGTGCCCTACTACAGGCGGCAGCGGCGGCGGCGAACGCCAAGGCCGAGGCGTCCGGCGGCGCGGGGCGCGGCCAGGGCGCACGGCGGATCGCGGCGGCTGCTGCGGCGGCAGGCGCCGCCGCCGCAGCGGCGGCTGGCGCGGAGGGCTCGGAGGGCCAGGCGGAGGACGATGAGTTTTCGGCCGCGGACCTCGAAAAGTGGATGGTCATCAAGAAGCGCGCAGGCTATCCATCTGGCTACAGCCAGCCCCGCCCTCGTGCCAGCGCAGCATCGCGGGGAGTGGCGGTCCGCGCGGGTCCTCCCGGGGCCCCCCAGGGAAGAACAGCCGACGCCCCTGCCAGACAGCGCATGGCACTTCAAAGCGCTTGGGCCCAGCATGGGTGGCGGATTGCGGACTATGCGTCGGAGTTTTCCGAGACTGGACAGGCCGCAAAAGCCGCAGGCCACCTTGCAAGGCGCACGCCGACAGCCGCGACGTGCTGACGCCGGAGGAGATGGTGCAGCTGCGTCAAGAGTTTGTGGAGGAGCTCGCGAACCCTGCTTTGGCCAAGGAGAGAAAAGTTGCAAAGGCAAAGGCTAGGCACCACGCGGGGTGGAAACCTCCGGAGGCGCCGCAATCTCAGGAGGAGTACCGCTTTGATTTCGGGAAACATTCTGGTTCCACCTTGAGGAGTGTGCTTCAGGAGGACCCTGGCTACCTTGATCGGTTGATGAGTTGGAGGAACAACATCCTGGACCAGAAGCTGACATTGAGGTGTGCTCTTGAGAAGGAGGGCCTCCTCGAGGGGCTCCTGGCGAAGAGGCCCCAGCTGATGGTCGAGAGAGCGCGGGGGATGATCGCGAAGGCGGCGGAGGACAAGGACAAGCCCCTGCATCCGGAAATCGCCAAGTTGCGGGTCGCGCAGCACATCGAGGCCACCGAAATCTTGGCCATGCATTCCAGCGAGACTGCCGTGGCGGCGCTTGCAGCGCCCCCGCGGGACCAGCAGCAGAAGAGAAAACGAGTGTCGGCAGCCAGGTACCTTCTCCCGCACTGTTCCAGATGTGGGAGCGTGGAGCACAAGCGGCCGCAGTGCCCGAACAAATCGCTGCAGGGCGAGGTCGTGGAGGACTGCCGCAGCCAGGCCGTCGTGGATTACATGCGGAACCGCCGATCTGCTGCACTTGTCGCCAGGCTGAAGTACACGCAAATATCTATCAGAACGCGGGAGTACGAAGAGAGGGCGAAGAAGATGGCGAGGGCCCCGATTGACACGGACTTTGTGCAAATGGCACGGTGGTCCCCAGAAGAGTTCGTCCACTACCTCGTGTCCGCTGGCATTTTGCACGACTTGAAAGGGACGCCGTGCCCGCGAGGGAAGTGCCA